TCTCCAAGGCACCGAGGGGAGGACAAGGAGCCATGGGGGGAAACTAATCAAGGAGAGAAGAAATTTAAAACTGAGGAGAAATTTCCTGACAATTAGAACAATTAATCAGTGGAACAGCTTGCCCCCAGAAGTTGTGAATGCCCCAACACTGGAAGTCTTTAAGATGTTGGATAGCCATTTGTCTGAAACAGTATAGGGTTTCCTGCCTAGGCAGGGGTTTGGACTAGAAGACCTCCAAGGTCCCTTCCAACTCTGCTATTGTATTGTATTGTATAGTTAGGGTGGGCATGCACCTTGCCCCTCCCCTACAACGTTGCCTCTTCTACCCTTCAAACCTTCCAAAAAGCATTGAAGACATGTTTTTTCCTCCAATCCCTGGAGTAAGGTGAGATGGAGTGAGAGGATTTAATGAGAGACCGTATGTTGGAAGTTTAACTTTGGTGCAGGTTTTTAAAGTTTATGGTTTAAATAGATTTAATATGTTAATATGCTGTTTTATTCTTGATATTGTTTTAATTGTTGATTGGGAGCTTCTCAGTTTTATATAAGATGTGAAAGGATATAAATGTTTTAAATCAATAAATACATTTTCCTATAAACTGATATTAGAATTCTTAATAAGGCGCCCCAAGACTCCATAAATGTGTTTCATGTGGAAAAGGTAATAAAGCCCCCTTTCCCCTTCTTAGGAGTAGTTGATGTAAAGTAGTTAGCGCAAAAGTCCTTGGCAGCGTTTACAACTTTTTTTCCTGGAGTAGCAAAGTTTTTCACAAGAAGGGTTACTAAATGAATGTGGCAACTGTATTCTACTGACTTCATCATTTCTTGTCGGCTCTTACTATCCTGAATATACTTGCAGCATTATACCTGAGAAAGCTGCATCCTAGGCATTTAATATTTACTACTCTTTCTTGGAAATGTTTAACAAATGGGTGTTTCCTGATTTATCAATTTTATCAATAAGAAAGCCACTCTGAAGGAGGAATTGGGATGATGAAGTGGCAAGAGAATATTCCAAGGAGAAGAGTGAGCCAAGAGACAATACAGCCTGGAGTTAGATCAGAGAAGAGGGAAAGAGATTTAGGACAGCCACTCCCTAGAAGGTATATCTGTTTACAATAAATGTTTAGTCAGGCAAGATTCCATCTATATGATGTGAACAAATAAAGAACTGAATTTTGGCAGCGCTGTTCTATATTGTTCTTGAGCTGGGCATGACACATATTCTTTTTCTGTTAATACATAACCACACATGATGAAAATGTTGTGGATATATGCTTCTATTAAGCCACAAGATAACAATTTCCCCCTCTAGAATATTTACACAACTCTCAATTTCTTCCTTAATATGATTTATCCAACCATTGCCCTGCCAATTGTTCTGCCATATTGTTCAATCCAAGTCTACCTCAACAACCATTGTGTTCATGAAATATATATTCTCAACAACACAGAAATATATTACATAAAGAAATTTCCTCCAGAAATTACTTTTTGGTGTTATTTGCTGTGATGTTTATGAAAAAATGTACCATCTCTCTTTGATATACCCAGTATAGCTAAAATATTATACCCCTAAAATAAAGACCCTGGTGATAGTAAACATTATGGACAGAATCTTGTATTTTGAGACTGAATCCACCTAAGCAAGTAAAACCAATAATGCAACGAGAGAGAAAGAGGCAGTAGTATGGCTTATTTAGTATTTAGTGCAGTTACTGATAAAGTTTAGCTGTAAACCTCCAGAGTTTAGAAATTTAGTGGCTTATTAAATCAATAAATACAAGTGCAACGGTAAAAAATATGTTAACTGCATTACCCTACCTTAATATAATAGCAACCGTGTGTGTGTTTGTGTATATACATACACACATATTCAAACAAAAGGATTCCAGTACTATTTTGAAAAGCCCATACAAAGCTATTCATCAAGGAAAAGAGACAATCCATAGGATACAAAGTGTTTACAAAGTCCATAGGATACAAAGTCCATAGGATACAAAGACATGAAAATATTTATTAACACTGGTCCTTCAGTAGCTTCAAAGCAGAACCAGTTTTTATAATGATGCTTTATTCAGGTAACCAGATCTTAACATTTGTTTGGTGTGACATTTTGTGCATTTTAATGGGTCTTAACCCTCACACATAAGAATTTCATTAAAATATTTCAAAACAAAAGCTGTTTCACAGCTTCCTGCCATGATGTGGGTTTTAGATATCGGAGGACAAGTTTCATGACCAAAAACCAGTCAGGTCCCTAATATTTCAGGAATGTTATACTCTCACTTATTTTCTGTCCCTTTCATTTATGTCTTCTCTCCCCTCCTTGTACAAATCAACTCCAAGACCTTAAGTATTTTATTCATTGACCGTTGTTAGTGCATTATTAGGAAGCAATTAACTTAGCACTTATCTGCATATTATACACTAGAATAGAATACAAGTATCTCAAAGATACCACCCTGAACACCATTTTATGTTCAGTTTTTACAAAGTATTTCAAATAAACTTTAAGTATCTGCTTTAAAGAAAATCCATTATAATTTCCATGACTCAAAAATCATAAAAACCCTACCAAAAGATTAATAAAGCTGCTATAAAGAGAAAATGGATTTTATGGGTTGACACAGGCTTGATACTACAGGCATTGGGAATGATTTAAATAAAACATGATTTAGTCAAGTTTACATGCTCCAAGTAAACCAGGACACATGCATGGGGGGGGGGGGGGACAGGCGTTCTAGGGTGGGAGACAGGAGGAGAGTGGAAAAGCAATTGGCAGAACATAGTAGTAGTTAAGCAAACTAAGGGGAAAGGAAAATTAAGGGTAGGGATGGGGGATGTGAACATATGTCATGCTTGAATTCAAGTGCAGTCATGGCTAAGTATAGCTGGATAAGGCAAGTATAGTTGGACTGATGCACAAGCCACTTACCGCCCACTTTTGTATCTCTGTTAGTAGTAAAATTTTCTAACCGCCCACCGGTTCCACAGTGATGGTGATTTATAAAGTAGGGAAATAACTTTACTTTATAAAATTTATAAAGCAGTTACAAGCAAACTCCTACCGCCCACCATGAAAGCTGGAATGCCCACTAGTGGGCGCTAGGGACCAGGTTGACTACCACTGCTGTAGACGAATAAGGTATGTCAGTTTTGCCCCATTCAACTCAGTCGATCAGTCTGAAATTTATTATGGCTGAAACTTGGATCCCTGCATAGAACAAAATATTCTCCATTTCATGCATGCATCTAAACTAAATTTAACTAAATTTAGATCTATAAGGAAAACTTAAAATTGCCAAAGTATACATGAAACAAAGTATATGATTTGTGAATATGGGAATTAGGTGGCTTAGAATGATCATTTTATGATCATGTTATATTTTTCAGGATTGGACCATACAAATGGATATCCTCAAAAACCGTCATTAAGTGCATACCCGCACACACATAAGATAGTACAATTCTATATGAAAACTGCGTTTACATTGTCATTCTTAGCCTAGATAACAGTCACAACTTGAAGCTCGTGCTTTTGTACTTGGTAACTCCTTTGTTTTACTTTCCGGACAGCAAATGAGATCAGATTCACGCAGCTAAAATCGTGTTTTCTCCATGCTCGCCTATGAGCACTATTGCTTCCACCACGTTTACTAAGTTTCCCCAAATCACCGGTTGCAGCAACAACAACAACAACGCCTCTGCCTCTTGTGATGCTTCCTAACAGCGGCCCAGTACAAAATCGGTGGGTAATTCCCACGTCACCGAACCCACGCTTTAAAACAACGCACCGTGTTTGTAGCTGCGTCTTACCTCTTTCAAAGGCGTGCACCGCAGCTTGAAACGCGACTTTTTTTAAAAAAAATTTGAAAATGAGACATCCCGAAGCGTGGACTGGCTCACGCGTATCACGTGACGGGCAACAACCAATAGCTTTTATACGGTATTCTCTATAGCTTCTTGCTTGTGACGTCAGAGGGGAAAGTGAGCATGGATGCGTTTTTCAGATCTACCAGGGATCGATCCGTTCGGATGGGAGATCCGCAGGAGACCCCAGGACGGGCGACTATCCTGGGAAAAGAAATAAATAAATATCCTGGGAAATGTACTAGTAGAGAACCGCTTCTGAATTCTTGCCAAAAGAAAGACATGGAGGTGTCCATGAAGTCGTAAAGCCACAAGTCAATTATTCGGGAAGAACTTTTAACTTTTCTCAAACAGTTCTGTATTTTACTTGAAAGTCTGTTAAAATCAGTTATTTCAGACCAAGTATGGCATACATACAGGCGTTTGTACTCTGAAACCTAAATGGCTAAAGTAATGTAATTAGATATGGCTCAGAATAATGTTTTATTTAATCATTAAGCTAAATATACTGAAATATATTGTTTCAAGGAAGAAAAAAAATGAGGGGTTTATTGTGTGCTAACACCCCCAAAATACTTGTAGAAAGATAGCCTGTTCCTGTATTAAACTGAGTAACTGCGTTTCTACAAAATGCTTGGTTAAAACAAGCCAGACCAATTATAGCTCAATATGAAGGCCTGATTCATACAAGCCAATTAATACATAATGGAGTTTTATTGGTTTTGACTTGAGAACTGGGATTAATGGTTTAGTTTTAACATGTTATGTAACTCATAATTTTTCATTGGGTTTTTAATGATGTTTACTCAAATGCAAATGTACCCTAGCAAGGAGGTTATTGCCAGATCTAAAGGTAGTCCTCGATTTACAACAATTAACTTAATGACCAAAGTTACAGTGGCACTGAAAAAAATGACATGACCGTTTCTTACATTTATGACTATACTAGCATCCACATGGTCACATGATTAAAATTCAGATGCTTGACATTGATGACTGTTGCAGTCTTCCAGGGCCATGTGGCCAGCTGTTGCCAGCTGACAAGCAAAATCAATAGGGAAGCTAGCTGCACTTAACAACCATGCATATAAATCCAATAAACCAAACCAAACCAACCAAATGTTACTAACTTTACAATGGTCATGATTCACTTAACAAGTCTGGCAAAAGTCATAAAATGAGGCAAAACTCATTTAACTAATGTTTCACTTAGCAATTTTGGGTCAATTGTGGTTGTAAGTCAAGCACTACCTATATTATATATATATCCTTGTGTTTCTACAAGAAACTGATTTAGTTAACTGCATCATGATACATTGAATTAATCAGTGGTATATTCACCATACTGAATCATCTGCTAACTGCTCTGAGTTTATGCAACATAATGAGCCACAACACAGCAAATACTTTTTAGCTTAATTTGGTTGTTCATGTTTCTCAAAGTCATCTTATTATAGTACCCTGTAACTCACATTGTTTGAATTGGACTTTATGTCCTATTTGACCTTGTGTTAGAATGTATAATCTTGATGGTTTACTATGAGTGTGAATCCAGTCCTTTAAGATCTAATTTTTTAAAGATAAAACTGGGTTAAATAAATCTTAGCTCAGTCTGGTGTGCAAATCTATTCAAGGAGTCTCACAAAATGCACAGACTATAGAAACATTAAACATTAATGTTTAACATTAATTAAATATGAAACTTTTTTCATTACATAAGGAGTATTATTTTATTTTTTAACCTTTAAAACATCCACTTGTACAGTCAGTTGAAATGTATTAATTTCAAAAAACATGGGCAGTAACCAAGCAGTAACTACTGGATCTGATGAAATAAAGCTCAAAATTTCAAAAATATTTTAATGTGAATAGGTAACTCTTGGGTCAAATCTCACCGGTATGACACATCTGTTTCTTTTTATTCGCCCTTGGGATGCTACTCCGCCTAACCCGGGGTATTTAATATAGCTAAGAACATGTTCCTGTCTTTTAATAAACCACTAATCTATTCCATGCTACGGGGAAATCCTAATAAAAGACATGTGATTAACAAAATTAAGGAATGTTTGAAACCGATCCCTCAAATTCACGCTTCAATTCAAATTGAATAATATCCCTCCTATGATTTTTCCGGTCAATTGTATTGTAGCCGAGAAGCTACTCCGCGTTTTGTTTTTTTGCATTTCCATTTCGCCTGAACTACAATTACCAGCATGCATCGGAACATCGATTTATCGAGGGTTTTTTTAAATCTCGCGGTGTATCTTGGAATTTGTAGTTTCTGCCTTTCTTTCTCCATTTCCGGAAAGCCTGACGAGTGGAAGCTTGAAGGGCGCAAGGATTGTGGGGCAACTAGAGTGTTTTGCTTTTCCGTGCTGCAACGTAAGAGAGAGGTATTGGGTCGAAATGCATTTATGGGAAAGGACGGGTGACAATTTTTTTTATGTAAGGCGGGGGGGGGGGGCGGAGTAGAAGCATCTGCCACTTGTAGCAAAAGGCAAACGGGGGTGCTAATTAACTAGAGCATTTTTTTAGGATCCACAACCTATTGCAGAGCAGATTACAGCATGTTTTACGGTGTAAAATTCCATCTAAATGACACTACCTGCCTAACTCAAAAAGATGAATAGAATTAGATCTGCTTAATATTTGAATGGAGACCATCGAGATATACTAACTAGAACTGTAGATCAGTTCAAAGTTCAACGCCTTTAGTGTCATTGTACACGATGTATACAACGGAATTGGTTTAGCCTCTACTGGTGCAGTCCATACAAGAATAAAAGAATAATCCAAGTAGTTGGGGGGGGGGAATTAGTCATACGTTTCCATATGTACGTCATATTCTATGCAACATGTATATTACTCTGGTGCACCAGTGAAATTCATCATATTAATTTGTTTGTGGTGCTCTATTGTGTTTAGGAGTGTTTAGGAGTATGAAGTTAAAAAAGAAGGCAATGGCAACTGAAAAAACATAGGGTCTTATAGTCACCAAGAGTAAAACTTGATTCACAAGAGATTTTACTGTGAACTATAAAAACAGTACACTGTTGAATCACAGATAAAACCTTGGATGAAATCACAGTGTATTTCCCATACCAAATGAAGCTTGAGCAAAATCTTTATAACATTTTTTCAATGACCCAATAATATCACTTGCCAAAATCCCATTCTCTCTTACATAGCTCATCTTCAGGGCCAACTATAGGGACAGTTGTATAGATGCAACAGTTTTTCAGGTAGCCTGGTTGAACAGTCCCACTTGCAATCTGAAATGATACAACCCAGATAACAGTTAATATTTCATTCAATCCTGGGCCTAATATTAACACTGGGGTGTTAAGTGTATCCTCCACTTTTGGAGATAGTAAGAGGGATGAGCTCTACCTCACATTGTACTTGTGTACTTGTAACTGCAACAGGATTATTATGTATGTGGAAGCTGGCTATTTGATTTGAAATTTTGCACGATTTGAGTCTCTGAACTAAATGGAACATCCCTTCAGATAAGGCAAGCAGTCTGCTGAAGACTATACCATCCTTTATTCCCATGCAAAATGCCTAATGTGCCATCTACTTGCCAGCTAAAGATGAAGAGAAATTATGGAGGGGGCCAAATACTGAAATTATGGAGGTGGCCAAATACCGAAATTAGCTACATGATACTTTATTTCTTTATTGGTATAATTGGAATATTTAACATGACAAAATAATTACAGATCTAATATCCAAAGGTCAAAGCAAGTGAGAATATTGTCTTGCCTGACTTCTTACATTCATAATTGTCACTTGTCATTTGCAGTTGCTAGTAATAGATATTTAAATAACCCGGGGGCTGTTTTGGGCATAGATTTCAGTATACATGCACACAACTTGAAACTTTTTGATATTTCTTCAGAGTGGCATTTGCTTTTTTTTAGAGGAAGCCATTTATATCCCGAGGAGTTGGGGTTTTTTTTAATGACTTGTTTTAAGGAAATAGAATGTCTTTCCACCTGAAAAATGGAATCACTTTGCATAATACAGTCAATAAATTCACATGCAGAAGCTGACTGTTACAGGCAGTTGGTATTTGTTGGGTCAGAATGAATAGTAAAACATCTTTTTTTCCTCTGTGCATGCTACATTATTTTGAACATCCACCTGCCTTCTTGCACAGCCCATCTCACATAATAGAATAAAATATTATTTATTGTCCAAAATTCAATGCATTAGATGTAGACTTGATGTTCTCTAGATGGATGTGCTTCTTCCTTTTACTCAAAGAATATTCTGGTAGAAGAACTGAGTGGTAGCTCAAGCCTCGAGTTGATCATGGTTTGGGATGAGGGGGAGAATCTGTGAAGTTTGTCTTGTGTTGCAAAACTTGGTTAGCCAAAATCCACAACTAAGAAGACTAGCTTCATCTTCTATTTATATGCAAATAAACCATTCTTTCCTCCCCAGTAAAAATATGCTGATTTAAATAATTGAATTAAATCTGTTTCCATATTGATATATAATTCCTGAGCAGGAAGACATACACTAATTATTTTGCTATAACAAATTATATACATATAATTATGCATTATTTTCTCTTTGAAGTCAGCTGGATGTAAAATGTTTTAACTATATATAGAGTGCACTTTAAATATGCATGCTAATTTTTATAATAATCGAGTTTTGGAAATTAGGCTCTTTTCTAATTTCTTCAGCAAAGAGTGTCTTAATCGTAATAGATGACTCATTAGTATATGCATGTTTTATATAAAAAGCAGATTTTATTTTAAATCAAGAGGGCTTTAAAAAAAATTCTTTGAAGTGCAGTCCGATATAGATTAACTTAAAAATTGGTCTGATTAAATTTAATTAGAATTATTGTCAGATAGAATTACAGCTTAATACAATTTATTTTTTTAAAAATTAACATTTACATTTTAAATAAGGTGGGAAAACAGAGTAACGTGGTGATCTGTTGAAGTAACCTAGAAATAAGGAGAAATTTCCTGACAGAAAGTTAGTCAGTGGAACAACTTGCCTCCAGAA